ATATACACTACAGTGGGGTCATCGCATACACTACAGTGGGGTCATCATATACACTACAGTGGAGTCATTATATACACTACAGTGGGGTCATATACACTACTGTGGGGTCATTATATACACTACAGTGGGGTCATCATATACACTACAGTAGGGTCATCGTATACACTACAGTGGGGTCATCATATACACTACAGTGGAGTCATATACACTACAGTGGGGTCATATATACTACTGTGGGGTCATTATATACACTACAGTGGGGTCATCATATACACTACAGTAGGGTCATCGTATACACTACAGTGGGGTCATCGCATACACTACAGTAGGGTCATCGCATACACTACAGTAGGGTCATCGCATACACTACAGTGGAGTCATCGCATACACTACAGTGGAGTCATCGCATACACTACAGTTGGGTCATCGCATACACTACAGTTGGGTCATCGCATACACTACAGTGGGGTCATCATATACACTACAGTGGGGTCATTATATACACTACAGTGGGGTCATTATATGCACTACAGTAGGGTCATCATATACACTACAGTGGGGTCATTATATACACAACAGTGGGGTCATCATATACACTACAGTGGAATCATTATATACACTACAGTGGGGTCATTATATACACTACAGTGGGGTCATTATATGCACTACAGTAGGGTCATCGTATACACTACAGTGGGGTCATCATATACACTACAGTGGGGTCATCAGAAACACTAGTGAGATTATTGCATACACTACAGTGGGGTCATTATATACACTACAGTGGGGTCATTATATACACTACATTGGGGACATTATATGCACTACAGTGGGGTCATCACATACACTACAGTGGGCCTATTATATACACTACAGTGGGCCACCATTGCATACACAACTGCACAGTTAATTAATCACATACACTACAGTGGGGTCGTCACATACACTACAGTGGGCTTATATACAGTGGGGTCGTCATATACACTACAGTGGGGTCGTCATATACACTACAGTGGGCTTATATACAGTGGGGTCGTCATATACACTACAGTGGGGTCGTCATATACACTACAGTGGGCTCATCATATACACTACAGTGGGGTTGTCATACAATACAGTAAGGTCAGCACATGCACTCCAGTGGGGAGCGGGGCTCATCACATAAACTACAGTGGGATCATCACATACAAGGGGAAAAGTAAACTATTCATAACGAAAAGTAAATTATTCATGTTGAAAAGTAAACAATCATCTGTTTTCACAAAACCCTGTTTTATGATGCCCAAACCATTTATTAACATTCGATTATTTCCTGCTTATTGCTTTTAAAGGTAAATATTTTTTGTGAAAAAAAATCTCTGGCAAAGTAGTAATTTTTACCCAAAAGATTATTCTGCTATACATAAATCACAAAAATTAATTAAAAAATTATCACAGGACAGCTAACAATGTCTCATCTCCTAGTGTCTCAGTAGGATCCATCTGTTCTACAACTTGACAGACCAATCGTTTCTGAGCATGCAGCTTGCCGGAATGGCACAGGCATTATATCTCAGTACAATAATGTTACTGTCAAATTCTTTATTTCAGCTGGAAATAGGCTTTTTGGGTGTTTTACACGAAATTTATTTTCACTGATTTTTGACAAGTTGAATGTAAAATATTGGGAAAAATTATATTCGCTGGATTTTATTTCCATTGAATCATTCCTTCAGCGAAAATAGCGAAAACTCATTCCAAGCGAAAATAAAGTATTTTACAGTACATGATTTAGGATTGAACCAATTGATATTTGAGGGGGAGAGAATAATTCAATAACTTGGCAATATGTTATTTCTCGGAAACACTATAATATTTTTTTCCAATTTATATAATTTATTTCATGATATGAAAATATCATAAGTCAGAGGCTGCATCAATCAATATTAAATTGAAAACGCTGGGATAAAAAATATTGCACTGACAAGAATTCGCATGTTTCCCAGACTAGACAGATGATGTGTGGTGCGAATATAATTTTTTTTTCATTCTAATTTCAGAACAGAATACAGAAAATACATTTTCCATCTTCATTTAGAAAAAAAATCATTTTTTAAATATATATTTTTTTAAATTTTATACAATACTTGTAGCTATCTATCTTTATTAGAAAAATTTGAGCGAGAAAAAAAATATGGTTAATTACAATTCTTTTTTTTTTTAATTAAGATAACATGGAACTCAAAATACACTTTAGACATGAGTATCCTTCAGTTTAATAACAGTTAATATTTGGTGATTTAAATTTGATGTTATTCAATAGACCATTTTCCGTTCACTGCGAGAATCACGCGTTATGCGTGAAATCAAACGTAAAAACAGGACAAACAAAGGTCATAGCGTCGTAGTGGCGTCAAACATCGCGTGGGATTCGACAAACGCGAAAGTATTTTGGGGACATTTCCATGCTTAATAATGTGCTGTCCACATTTGATGATAGGCGATTTCGATTAAGTAAGGGTATTCGGAAGCAATATTCCTCTGTCGAAGATCAGCCGGTCGGTGTGAGCTACGAAATAAGGAAATTCGAGTTCAAAATCAAATCGTTCGATTTTTGCGGCAGACGTTCGACGCGCGTCTTTCATGCATCTCGCGAGATCTC